ACTTTGGTCAAATAATTAGTCCGACTAAATACATAATTAACATTCAAAGTTAAGCATCAAAGATTATAAATCAATAATTTTAAAAAATCATTTTTTATGCATTTAAAAAAAACACAAATTTAAAAGAAAAAAAAAAACAAATTTAGGTTAAGTTTTTTTTTTTTTCCGTTTAATTAATCTTCTTTTGATTACTTAGATTAGAACAAAACTTAGTATTTCAATTATACTTTTGCATTATTGGTATGATTTAGGTCGTTATTGTATTAATATTTTTTGTATGTATTTTTATAATGGCACAATTATACATTACCTTACAAATATTATACTATTATTTTTTTTATCGGACAAAATTGTTCTTACATTATTGTCAGACCTGCGCGACCTAACTACAAAGTTGTTGATCATAAATACAAGATTATTACACATGGACTCTAAAACGGTAGGACCATTTTCCAAATAATTGACAATGTTGGCATCCCACTAGCTCCAATTGAACAAGTTTACACATCAGAATTTGATCAATGCATGAAAACTTTTAAAGAAATTTGTAAGTTAATTTTTAATATATCATTATAACAATATCTATTGTAATATATACATATATATATATATATTGAATTATTTATTATCATCATCTATTAACAGGAATTGTAACAATTGTTACTGACAAACTCTCAAAATAATTTGTCTCAACAACGAATGTAAATTAAAAAAAAATCAATGATTTCATTATTGTTGATGAAAAGTATGTACGCCACTTTATTACTCTTATTAAATTAAATAAATTAGTAGCTACAACAAAAAATAATACATATGCATTTAATTAATTTAGAATTAGATGTCTATATATAATACTTTTATTTTAAAAAAATTATTCATTATAAAAAGTTTAAAAAGAGATATAATTTAATTAGTTATATTATCTTTATTTTCTACAATTCAAAGATTCATTACCTTCAAATTTATTAATTTATTATATTTACTACATTATCCATTATCTTCTTTTTACATTATCTTGTAATTAAATATCAAAGTTATAACAGGACTATGTGGTCTAATGGTACCCGGGTTGGACTTCCATTTGAAAGGTTGTGAGTTCAAGCCTCAGTGGAGTAGGTTGAGAAAGTATATGAACAGATACTATAATGTAATAGAGACAATTTCATTTAAATGAATATATCAAAGTTATAATACAAAATATGTTATATATTTATTTACCAAGTATTTTATACAAATATAATAAATATTAATATTTTGTTCAATACTTTCACATGATAACCTACGACACACATATCACAACGCATGAAACGTTATAATACAAAATATGTTATATATATATATATATATATATATATATATATATATATATATATATATATATATATATATATATATTTATTTATTTATTTATTTATTTATTTATTTATTTACCAAGTATTTTATACAAATATAATAAATATTAATATTTTGTTCAATACTTTCACATGATAACCTATGACACACATATCACAACGCATGAAACATGTATGGGAAAAACTACCACTGCCAAATATCAATAGGTGCTTGTAAGATAAAGAGTTAATAGTACAACTAAGATTCAATCATATACACAACAAGACAAATCTAAAGCTTTCTATAATCTCATTGCACGATGAATCCATCTATGCTACCACCAGTAACCTAATTGCACATGACATACACGTACACTACCAATAAAACAAAAAGAGAGGACATGTATTGAAGATGAAGACAATGACAATGCTACCCAAAAAAGAATTAAGAAGAATTAGAGAAATTTAAACTACTGGAAATTTGGAATTTCCGACCACCTGAAAGTAATATTAAATCAATTCAAGTCGAAAGTAAAAAGTGGTCAGAAATAGCAACAAAGGTTTTTCCGGATACCAAAAGTGGTCGGAACAAGGCTTTCGACTTGATTTAAGATCACTTTTAGGTGGTCGGAACAAGGCTTTCGACTTAATTTAAGATCACTTTTAGGTGGTCGGAAATTCCATAATTTTCAGTAGTGTTAAACCAATAGTAATATTTATTTAGATTATCGTTTTTAAACTAAGTATTTAAACTAGCGTTATTACAAAGTTGCAAACATTTATTTTAGTGACAATATAATCAATCAAATATCAAATTCAATATTTATTTACCTATGCATGAACATCTCCGATATAATATTGCATTTGATATACTTTAAAATACTTATTTAAAAATAATCATTGGGCATTATCCTTTGCGCGTAAAAGAACTAGTACTAATAATAAACTTAATATTATAAAAAATAAATTCAATCAAACTCTTATTAAGGAATAGGCACATGGGAACCAATGAAGAGAGGAGTGGAAAAGTTTGAATTTGCTTGTTCGAAATTTCAGTCGTGTCATTTTCAAACTGTATAATTAATTCCACAACTATATGGAAAAAATCTAGCGTTGCCTCATGACTACTGACTTTGAAGTCTTCCAGCTGCCTCCCAAGACCGGCAAATTATGTTGTGCATCCGTATGCACCATATACGGATGCAAAAACGACGTCGTTTTAATAAAACGCGCGTCTCTCCTTAAAAAAAAAAAATCAGGTTCGATTCCCAGCAACAACATATGAACTAAAATTCCAGAATCAATGAACTATAATTCCATAATCGATGAACTATAATTCCATAATCTAATCTATGAACTAAAAATTTCAGAATGAATGAACTAAAATTCCAGAATCTATTAACTAAAATTTCAGAATCGATGAACTACAATTCCATAATCGATGAACTATAATTCCAGAATCAATGAACTATAATTCCATAATCTATGAACTAAAATTTCATAATGAATGAACAACATAATGTTGTTGCTATGAATCGAACCTGAATTTTTTTTAAAAGAGAAACGCGCGTTTTTAATAAAACGACGTCGTTTTTGCATCCGTATGCACCATGCATGGTACCGGATGCACCATGCATGGTGGCCGATGCACAGCATAACTATTCCCCAAGACCAATCTTTAATCCACATTTCCATTATTATATTCGCATCAACTCCAGTTTTGCTCATCATCATCATCAACTCCTAAATAATTAAAATTACAGAGTATATTTGTTATGATGCATCCTCCTATTGGACGCTTTGTGTTAGCCTACTACTACTACTACTACATCCTCTGCTTCTTCTTCACCGGAGCTACTTCCCAACCTCTGAGATTTCTGTATGTTGCGTTACTCGGACAAGTCTATGTTCGGGAGAGCCGACCAATCGGTCCGGTTAAATTTGTATAATACACAGAACTCTTCTGATCCAAATTCGTTCATGATCTGGGTCGGGGTGACATTAGGTCAAATGGCCACTCGAGCAACCAATGATCAATCCGGCAAGAAATTTGCGACTCAAGAAGCTAACTTCACTGCATTTGAGACAATCTACAGTCTTGGGCAGTGCACGCCGGATCTTTCCGACTCCGATTGCCGGACATGCCTAGACAGTGCAATCAAAGGACTTGTTTCAGTCCCAATACTTGTATCGTGGACCCTAATCCAAAACACATTGTTTCAGCAATCATTCTTTCCAAAAGGTTGAACCCCAACCCGCTAGACCTTTGGTTACAGTGCACAACGAACCCCTCACTTTGAGAAGTCATTCTTTCCAAACTTCACTTCTATGACTAGTTGAGCTGCCCATGCGGACTGTTTCAGCAATAATGATTTGACTAACGGGCTGTCATTTCTGAACATTATTAAGTTTTGATTTTTTGAACATATTAGTTTAAGAACATTAACTTTGAGTTTATGAACATATATATATTGTTCGTCTGTCTAGTTTTTTAACATGACGTTTTGAATTTCTAAACATGTATAAGGTATGTTATGATTTATGAACATGTAAGTGATGTAACACAATGAATGTTGTAATTTCTAATTAATTTATGAACATTAACTTTGAGTTTATGGACATATATTGTATATTTCTAAACATTAATCTTTGAGGTTATGGACATACTTACAAATCTACAATGTCTAGTTTCTTAACATTAAGTTTTAAGTTTCTGAACTTATTAGGCGAAATGAATTTTTTTTTTTAACAAAAACGGCATTGTTTAAACCAAAGTCCACACATCCAAAACTCGGGTCACATAACATAGATGAAGTAAATTGTAAAATTATTTTGGAATATATAACCAAAGACTTCATGAATGATATATATATATATATATATATATATATATATATATATATATATATATATATATATATTAGTATATTTTTTGCTCGATGCGCAAAAAGTAGCTGCCCAATATTAGTACTTTATATTAAAATTTTAAATTTATTTAGATTTTAGATATTTAAATTATTGTAAATAATAATAATAATAATAATAATAATAATAATAATAATAATAATAATAATAATAATAATAATAATAATAATAATAATAATAATAATAATGTGAAACATTTTTATAAATTTTATATTTATATTTTAGAAACTAACTAACATATAATTCAAATATATAATATGTATATATTATTATTATTATTATTATTATTGAATAAGATAAGAAAATATATGGTGGATGCATGTGCATGATAACAATAGTGGAAAAGATAACAGAAGTTATAACGGTAGGGGTATGTTCGTCCAAAATATTGTAAAGTACAACTTTTATTGCATAATGTATAAAAATACTTAACGGAAAAAAGAAACATAAATAAAGGGTATAACCTCCATTCACACTTATTATGTTTTTAGATTAGATTTTTAGATATATAACCAAAGACTTCATGGATGAAGAGTGCTAGCACTCGGTGGAGTAGCAGAGGATCCAAAGCATGGCTGACTTTAGGAATGTGTTTTTCTCTTTTTACTTAACCTGCATCCTCTTAGATTATTTTTTGAGTATGTCGCTACCTGAAGATGTACACTGGGTGAAGTGCCTTATAACTCTAATCAATAAAAGATTATATAAGGTAAATCATTTTAGGTCGTCTATAGCTAACCGGTTAAAATTAAGAAAGTCAATAGACAGTTAGGGCGAGTCGAACTTAGAAACTACTTATACTTACCAAGTCAACTGTCAAACCAACTTGGTTGGGTTGCCCCTGCTGAATTATTTATCTTTCCAGCTTAATTGATTCAGTGTTTGAGTGTTTTCTGGCTTGAAAGTTTTCCATCTTTTAGCATTAACCAGTAGCAAGTTTATGTTAAGGTTGTTGAGCCATCCTTCTAACTCTAATTGAAAATTCTCAATATATATGCATGGTAGCTGTATTTCTTGATGCAGGAAACAATGGAAGTTCTTCAAAAGTGATTATTGCCATTGTAGTTCCAGCTGTTGGAATTACACTCTTCATTTCAATCTTCTGTTTTCTAAGAATTAGAAATGTTAAGAAACGAAATACCACAACACACACAACAGGTAAAGTACCAGATTAATTGATTGGAATCTATGTTTCTCTACACTTGTTTGTGTTACAATATTTGCCACTCGAGTTTTTGCAATTTATAGTTTTGTAACCTATCTTTCCTGTAGATGTCATTGGAGTTTCAGCAGAGGAGTCCTCGCAATATGATTTTGCTACTGTTCAAGCTATTACAAATGATTTCTCTCCTGAAAATAAAATCGGCAAAGGTGGATATGGTCCTGTATACAAGGTAAAGTCTTTAATTTGTCTCCATCCATATATATATGCTCATTTTTAATTCATTCTAATTGTTTTTTGATAACTAATAATACTCAGGGAATGCTTCCTAGTGGACAAGAAGTAGCTGTAAAACGGCTATCAAGAAGCTCAGGGCAAGGAGCTCAAGAGTTCAAGAATGAGGTTGAAGTAGTTGTCAAGCTTCAACACAGAAATTTAGTAAGGCTACTAGGATTTTGCACCGAAGGAGAAGAAAAGATACTCATCTATGAATTTGTGCCCAACAAAAGTCTTGACTACTTTTTATTTGGTTAGTTTCAAACCTCAAAGTTTTCATATTTCCTCGGTACTAAACTTGAATGGTCATCGCACAACGCTCGGTGTAATTTGGGATTTTCATATATCTAGATCATGATAAACAAAATCTAATGGAGTGGTCAAGGCGATACAAAATTATAAGAGAAATAGCACGAGGTCTACTCTACCTTCATGAAGATTCTCGTCATAGAATCATACATCGTGATCTCAAAGCAAGCAATATACTATTAGATGCAAATATGGATCCAAAAATAGCTGATTTTGGTATGGCAAGAATTTTTGGAGTTGATCAAACTCAAGGAAGTACAAACAGAATAGTCGGAACATAGTAAGTTATGCATCTTAGCCATCCACATACATATTTGCATTCCTAGTTGACATCAACATTTACATTTAGGTTTGTTCAATTCATCATTGCAAAAAATATCATTATTATTTACTTTATACTAATTAGTTGTTGTACTAATAATTACTCCGTATATTGTTTGTAACGGTTACATGTCCCCTGAATATGCAATGCACGGAAAGTTCTCTATAAAGTCGGATGTTTTCAGTTTCGGTGTTCTACTTTTAGAAATTATTACCGGAAAGAAAATTCGTAACTTCTGCCAATCAAATGAGGCACAAGACCTTCTTAGCTATGTAAGTAGAGACTTCCATATATATTAAATACATTTATTTTCTATGTCAAGTTTGTTTTATCACGTAGATGCTCATATTTTGTTTCAAGTCCTTCATAATATTATGTCATCATGGTCAACTTATGAACATGAAAGTGATAATGTTGTAGGCTTGGGAACACGGGAGGGATGGTTGTCCATTAAAAATACTAGATTCAACACTTGGAGAGTCTTATACAATAGATGAAGTCATCCAATGTATACACATTGGTTTGTTATGTGTTCAAAAAGATGCAGATGAAAGGCCTGCAATGACAAAAGTGATGTTGATGCTTAGTAGTTATTCTGCTAATAATTGGTCAGTACCTCATGAACCTGCATTTTATCGTGGTGGGATGTCGAGAGAGATAGAGTTGCAACAGTCTGTGACTGTAAATGAAATGACAATTTCTGATCTCTGTCCAAGATAAATAAGACAGACATGGAACTCAAGCATACATGGTTTTGGAGTTTATATTTGCAGAAGACAAAACAAATATGCAGAGTGCATGTACTTTTGGGGGCTTATTTTCAAATTCCTAGGTATGTACATTGATAAAGTAACATTAGGGAAATAAATAATTATATATGATGTATGAACCAAAAATAATATCCAATTCTAGCATGACATGAATTTTCAAAGTTGATTTTCCATTGCGATTTGTTCTATTCATCATCTATCTCAGAAAGCATAATTCTGGATAGGCCACTTATGTACGCAGGGACAGAGCCAAAAGGGCAGGGGCAGCTGCCCCTCACCCCACCTCCCACCTTATATATAATCTTTGTATGTATATATGTATATATAGTACATGTTTTAGTATTAGTATAAAAAAATTAGTAAATGTCAACAAGAAATGAGTTATATTAGTTGATAGAGCACATCTTTGATAATAGTAAAGGTAAGGGTTCGAATTCTTTGGTATCCCAACATAGTTTTACATACGGCTAGGCATTTCGGGTTTCGATTCGGTTTTTTCGGTTTCAATTTTGCGGTTTTAAAAAAATTAAACCATTCGGTTTAACAATAGAGTTCGGTTTGAAAAAGTTCGGTTTTGGTGAAAGTCCGCTATTTGAACGTTTATTTTTTTGTCTGATCGATTGTTCAGTTAGCTCACTTGGAGTGCCACTTTAAGTGTTTTGTTGATGACAAGATGAAGAATCATCTATCTACATAGTTAATATTTGAAAAGAGTAAATACCCAAAATGGTCCCTCGACAATAGCTAAATTCACAAATTGGTCATCGGCTTTCAATTTCAACCAATTAAGTCATTAACTTTGTAATTTTAACACAATTTGGTCCTCTGTCTATTTGACCGTTTGTTGACTGTGATTTTTTTAGGATATATATATGTAATTCCATGGTCCATCATCGGTTTTTTAAGGTTCCGGTTGCATTTCCAGACCGCACTGTTACATTCGAATCCACCGCCGAAAGCAATCTACCAAATCCGGTCGCCTTTCTTCATCCTCCCTTTGGATTCAATGTAGTTGAGTTCGTACCAGAGCGAAGAAGACGACGTGTTTCCGAACCGGTGCAACGTCATTCTGGAGGCCTCCACGTGCTCCGACGAGAGCTGAAGGTTCTTCTGGAGATCATCGATTACTGTCAACAAACGGTCAAATAGATGGAGGACCAAATCGTATCAAAATTGCAAAGTTAAGGACTTAATTGGTTGAAATTGAAAGTTGAGGACCAATTTGTGCATTTAGCTATAGTCGAGGGACCATTTTGGGTATTTACTCATTTGAAAAATAAGAATTATTAAATCGCCAAATGTTGGGACTTACGACTTAGAGTTGAGGTCTGAGGACTTGAAGAGTTGAAATTATTAATTATTATAATATTTATATATAATACTAGCATTTTGTACGTGAGATGCGTGAAAATTTATGGCCAACATTAAAAATTGATAAATGCAAATAATTACAAATTATAATTCAAATTATATTTCAGAATTCCTTGAAGTAGTAAATTTTAATCATCGTATTTGAAATAATAATTATTATTATTAATTATTAATTATTATTATTATTAATTAATAAAAAATAATAATTAATAATATTAATAATTTAATAATCATTAATAATAATAAAAAAAAATATTAAAAAAAAAAAACAAAAAAACAAAAAAAAAACAAAACAAAACAAAACAAAATTTGAACTTTTACAGAGCCTAAGGCTCATTGAATAAAAGAGCCTTAGGCTCCTTTTACCTTCCCCATCCGATGTGGGAACACATCAGATTGGGAATGGTGGAAACTAGAAAGATGGGGAGTTGAACTCCTTTATAGAGGAGTTCAACCCCTCTTTCTCTTTTACTATTGATCTCACATCTGTTTTTTTTTTTCTATTTTTATTTGTTTATTTATTATTATTATTATTATTATTATTATTATTATTATTATTATTATTGTTACTGTTGTTGTTGTTTTGTTGTTATTATTATTATTATTATTATTATCTTGTTAAGGAATATTAATTATTTTTTATTTTATTATTACATAATAAAGTTAATCATTAATAATAATAATAATAATATTTTTATGAATGCCCTTTTTGGTCTTTTTACATGTTAACCGCTAATCTAAACAGCTAATTTTACCAAACATTTTTTTACAACCCGTTGATACAATTCGCTAGTCAAACCCGCTATCTGTGAACCACTAATATAATCCGCTAACCGCTAATTGTCAAATAAGGCCTTAGCCATGTTCACCCGAGTTTTCTCCATTTGACCATTTGGAGAAATGTAAATTTAAATTCTCCAAAAGCATAGATAAAGTGATGAATGAAGAGAAGTTAGGAATTTAAAAAATTAATTTTAGTAAACAAATTTTCTATTTTTTATTTTTTTCACTACTCCAGTTTCGGCCTGCCAACACCAATCTTCAATCCATATTTCCATTGATCATCTATTCGATCTCCTGATTTAATTAATTTTGAACTTATGTATAACGATTTCTCTCTCTGAATTTTTCTCGATAAAAAGAAACTTAAAACGTCAATACAATTATGTATTCTATGGGAATGGTACTGCAAGCTGGGGAGGCCACAGTGGATAAATCAATAGGGAACGTGTAGCAGTATGGGATTTGAAAATGTTTCTGGGAAGTTACGATACTGTTTGATTTGCAGAAAACATTTGAAAATGAATGAAATTGAAATTTTACGAAAAAAATTATCAAGAAGTTTGATTCTATTGTTTAATTGGTAAAAACAAGTAGTTCTATTGGTTCTATATAAGTGGTGTTAGGAGCATAAGTAGAGGTGTTGGCTGCAATTCCTGTTTGCTGCAATTCAGAAACCATGAATCTTGATTTGCTCCTTCTTCACAATCCCAGCCTGCTTCACAAAACAATTAAAACCTTAATCCTTGGAACACCATGCATGCATGCATGCACAAACCTCTGCTACAGTACAACCAGAATATATATATATGCCCTAAGAAATCACCTGAACAAGGAAGGTGGAGACATTCTTCCTCTGATCACCTTGGAGCTGGATAACCTAAGTTCATTAAACAGCCAGATTGTCAATCAATCCCAACAAGCTAAGATTGGATTAAGGTTTAGTCCGGGCAAGGGAAGAGAATGGTGAGTACCTGTCCAAGTTCAAGGTCCTGGACAACAGTGCCATTGCAGCAAAACTCTTTCTTGAGATCTTTCAGAATCTTGGTATAGCTGAACTCCTTCTTCAAACCCTGTACGGTTGTCAGGCTTTTCCGCCCATTGCGCTGTTGAATGCGGATGTGAACATATTCCTTTGCACCCGCACCTGAGTTCTCAGCTGCATTTGCATCAGCAAATGGATCTGTCCATGCAAAACACACCAAAATTTCAATATACATGAACCAATCCCACTCAAATTGGTCAGACTCTTGACTTAGTAACCATTACAAATTCGACTCCCACCAAGAGCAGTGGTCAGCTATGGACAACCTAAGTAGGTTTACCTCGTTGTAGTCCTTTACTAACTAGGATCTTCGACTCCTAGCTAGAGCAGCCTACTGGCTTTCTTGGTTTGAACTGGTCAACTATGGCCTATGGGCAACATAAGCTGGTTGTCCTTCGCCGGCTAGGGTCACAAGGCCGGACTTACCCAATACACACTTTAAGATAGTGACTGTGGGTTTCCCTCGTCACAAAAAAAAAAAATAATAAAATATATATATATATTCTGAAAGGAAAATATAATGTGGCATACCAAAGGCAGTAGGTATGTGGATGTGGAGTTCAGACATGAACCTTGGCTGCAAAGAAACAAGAATTAATCCTTAAACATTCCCATGCATGCTAAGGATATACAGAGATATATATATATATATATATATATATATATGGAAGAAGAAAATTAAAGTTACCTGGACAGAGAAGAGGGAAATGCTGACAGCTGGAGATGGGGGCAGGAGGGGATTCTTGAATTGTTGAAAGAAGAATATAATATAGTACGAGAAGGGGTTGGGAATTGAAGAATGAAAGAGAAGACTGGGATGATGATGATGATGATGATGAAGAAGGAAGATGGAGGTGAAGAGGATTTATAAAAGAAGGGATGAAGGGAGAATTGAAGCCAATAAGATGGAATGCATAGATTGACCATACATACACTTCGTTGGACTACATGCCTCTCTTCTTGTAGTCGATGTCTTTTATGGGTGGATGAATCTCCCTATGCCATGCATCTTATTATATTCTAATAATAATAATAATAATGGTGGGGTGTATAACTTTTGATGGTTAATGGTTAGGAGTAGTATCTCGTGTAACTTATGTTAAAATGTGTTTAAAGCATTTTTTTTTTTTTTTTTGGCGTGATCGAGCTGGTTTGAGTAAATCTTGCTTTTGCCTAACAACTCATAAATCACATAGAAGAAGTAAATCACATTAGGAGGATCATAATGTACAACTCGACTGTGAGGGTGTTGGGTGCATAAAGCATTGATGAATTGAACACTAAACATTTTAATTATCCGATGTGGTTATTGGCTAGTCAATTGGTATAGGGTAGAAGTATAAATACCCGTCTTACAATAATAAATTTGTTTAGTAAAAAGGAAAATATCAATTGCGGGTAAAAAAAATGTTATGTCGATTCAAAAATTAACTGTTTCAACTATAATTCAATAACTATGTACAATTAAATTAGACTATCCTCAACGACGAAGGAAGGTACATCTCGGCGTTCAACGCTCCATTACCAAGCTGCTCCTCCTCACTTATGGTCGAGGCTTTTGCATGCAAAGAAGTCTTGTCATGGTTATGAGACCGTGGAGAACATTCTGTAGACCTATTCACGGATTGCTTAACACTACAACAATACTTGACATCCGCAACTACACCTGTCCGATCATATCTCGGTTATGCTATTGATGCATACAGAGCTCGTATTGTCTCTTTTGATTATTGTTCAGTTGTTTTTATTCCTAGAATAGATAACTATTTAGCTCATACTTAGCTTCGTATGCTTTTACGCAATCTATTGCTATGTATTGAGACTCAGCCCTCCAGACTCTATTTCAGAGCATTTTGAATAAATGTCATGCTAGCTCCTTTCAGAAAAAAAAAAAATAGAGTATGTGAGGAAGTAGTCACATATGATTTTATCTCCATCTAATCAATTTATGTTATATATTACTTTAACATAATTTTGTAAATGTTTGATTCCAACAATCAGTCAAATTGCATAGTTTATGTACCTAGGAGGCTAGGACCTTAAAAAAAAAAAAAAAAAAAAAAAAAAAAAAAAAAAAAAAAAAAAAAAAAAACATCCTGCCAATCAAACAAGGCGCAAGACCTTCTTAGCTGTGTAAGTAGAAACTTCCATATTAAATACATTTATTTTGTGTATGTTAAGTTTGCTTTATGATGTAAATGTTCATATATATTTGGTTGCGAGTCCATAACATATTGTGTCATCATCATGGCCAACTTATGAAGATCAAAGTGATAATGTTGTAGGCTTGGGAACAATGGAGGGATAGTTGGCCATTAAAAATATTAGATCGAGCTCTCGGAGAGTCCTATACTATAAATGAAGTCATCCAGTGTATACACATTGGTTTGTTATGTGTTCAAGAAGATGCAGATGAAAGACCTACAATGACGGAAGTGATTTCGATGCTAAGTAGCTATTCTGCTAATAGTTGGTCAGTACCTCGTGGTACCTTGCTTTAAAAACACGGGCCATTAACGAACCTGGGCTAGTAAGCAACCGCCACCCTTGCTTGCCCAACAGGGTCAAATTAAACTCATGCAACCGTTTGAAACCCATTCCACCAAACTTTTTGGGGGTACACATCCTGTCCTAGGCCAGCCAATGAATGCTACTGTCCAATCCACTCTGCCCCCACCAATACATGTTCATCAACCTTTCCAACGAAATACATAAAGATTTAGGGAGCAAGAAAATACCGCAAATTATGCCCTGGAAACGTCTTCACCATTCATGGTGAACACGGGTCCAAACGGCGCCGTTTTTATGAAAAAAATAAAAATAAAAATTCACTAATGTGGTGTTAACGGCGCGCGTTTGGTCAGATTATGAATTTTCTGTTATGAGATTATGAATGTACTGTAAATTCATAATCTCATAACAGAAAATTCATAATCGCATAAAAGAAAAACATTTATTAAATTATGAATTTTCTGTTATGAGATTATGAATTTACTGTAAATTCATAATCTCATAACAGAAAATTCATAATCTCATAACAGAAAATTCATAATCTCAAAACAGAAAATTAATAATCTCATAATAGAAAATTCATAATCTCATAACAGAAAATTCATAATCTCAAAACAGAAAATTAATAATCTCATAACAGAAAATTAATAATCTCATAACAGAAAATTCATAATTTCATAATAGAAAATTCATAATTTATGAATATTGAAGAAGCTTGCGCTACAGAGGTGCAGTCATGGTTTCTGACGGGAATGTGTAGGCATGAGTCCAAAGTGAATGTGCAGGCATGGATTCATAATTTATGAATGTCCGAAATCATTGCTCACCTCAAATTAAAGTGAAACCGCGAAATGTGAAAATGAAGAAGAAAAGTCACGCGATTAATTAAGAAAAAAAAAATAGATAACGGTGCACTAACACCGTTGGACCGTGTTCACCATGAATGGTGAACACGGTTCCATGGCATAACGATTCAAGAAAATACTCATGGTATATGTTGGCATAGCTTGCGCAACGCTCTTCAAAAGAACCTCCTTACCCGTCTTAAACAATAGCCTCTTATTCCACAACCCAAACCTTTGCCTCAGCTTCTGCTCAACATAAGCAAAAACTGCTCTCCTGTTCCTGCCAATAACATAAGGCAGACCCAGATACTTCCCAAAATCATCAACCTGAGAAACCCCCAAGGCCCCCGAAACCAGCTCCCTAATCCCCTCCTGAGTATTACGGCGGAACGAAACACTGGACTTGTGAAAGTTAACCGCCTGCCCAGAGAAAATCTCATAGATACCCAGACACTTCTTCACCTCCATAGTCTCCTGCAGATTAGCTTTAAAGAAAAGCAGACTGTCATCTGCAAAAAACAAGTGTGAGATTGGCGGTGCCCCCGGGCTACCCTGCAACCATGAATAAGACCCTTAGCCTGTGAGTCCTGCAAAAGCAGGGATAAACCTTCCGCACAGATAATAAACAAACAAGGAGACAAGGGGTCTCCCTGCCTTAATCCCCTCGTAAGCACAATCTCCTCCGTAGGCCTACTGTTAACCAACACCCTATACCGCACCGTTTGGACACACATCATCAACAGCTGAACCCATTTCGCATCAAAACCCAAACCCATACATACTACTACTACTTATACATATGATTGTGCGATAATTTAACAAAATAATCTTTCTTTGTGCTATGCAGCAGCTTGTGGTTACTGCAAATCAAGTATTATATTACAATAGGAATATAAAATCAAGCATCCTATAATCCAATATATACAAAATATAAATATTTTTTAATTTTAATATTTTTTAGTTAGATCAAGTTTAGGTTTTTTAAAATTAATTCGAATACGATCGATGAAGTATATATAATATAAACTTGTATACTACATTAATTAAATGATTTATAAACATGTAGACTAAAAAAAATATTTTGTTAATTAAATGATTCATAAAAAGTAGACAATAACTTTATATCTATTTTATATCACAATATACAAGGCATCATTGATATGTTAAACATATAGTAGGTTCAAAATCAAATCACGAATATGTAATGAATATAAAACATATATAGCATTTTTTCATAAGAATGAAACCATTTCCCAATGAGTCTTTCATTTTCTTGTGCACAACCAATTTTGTATGTTTGAATGTTTTGGGTTGATTCCTTCATAATATCCTAATGATATCAACTAAAAATTTTATTACAAATTCAATTCATTATAAGAAAATCAACTATTGTCATCAATATAAATAGTTATGCTGGCTTGGTTAACTTGTATACCTATTATATGAAACATAATGCTCTTTTCATGATATTGATAGAATAAGAACCAAATTAAAGAATAATGATAAAGTTGAGATATTGAAAGATACTAAAATAATATTTTGATGTAAGTAAATTTTAAAGTTAAATATATATTTACTTCAAACTCATGCACGGTGGATATGATAGCGGACGAAGCAGAAGACGAAGAAGATGGTTAGAACTTTTCTATTAGAATTATTTATCAAAATAAGCTTAACTAAAGTAATTATTAGTAGATAAATTGTTAACTTTAAAAAACATTAAACTTACTTTTAAACATGTGTTTTCAAAAAAAAAAAAAAAAAAAAAAACGTTAAACATGTGTTCTCATTATTAGTTAATGAATTTTACCCTTTATTTATTATTATTATTATTATGGAGTTGTAGAATATAATAAGATGCATGGCCTAGGGAGATTCATCCACCCATAAAGACATTGACGACAAGAAGGGAGGCATGTAGTCCAACGAACTGTATGTGTGGTCAATCTATGCATTCCATTTTATTCGCTTCAATTCTCGCTTCATCCCTTTTATAAATCCTCTTCACCTCAATCTTCAATCATCATCATCATCATCATCCCTGTCTTCTCTTTCATTCTTTGATTCCCAACCCCTTCTCGCACTATTATATTCTTCTTTAAACAATTCAAGAATCCCCTCCTGCCCTCATCTCCACCTGTCAGCATTTCCCTCTTCTCTGTCCAGGTAACTTTAATTTTCTTCTTCCATATATTTATATATATATTTATCTTTGTATTCGATCTGTATATCCTTAATTAGCATGCATGGGAATGTTTAAGGATTAATTCTTGTTTCTTTGCAGCCAAGGTTCATGTCTGAACTCGACATCCACATACCTACTGCCTTTGGTATGCCACATTTTCCTTTCAGATTCTGGCCAATATATACATACACGGGCTCCATGTATATTCTGTTGTTTTGGGTGACGAGGGAAACCCACAGCCACTACCCTAAAGTGTGCATTGGGTAAGCCCCGCCTTGTGACCCTAGCTGGCAAAGGACAATTAGTTTAGGTTGTCCATAGACCATAGGTGACCAACTCAAACTGAGAAAGTCAGTAGGCCGCTCCCGCTAGCTAGGAGTCGAAGACCTAGCTAGCAAAGGACTACAAAGAGGGAAACCTACCCAAGTTGTCCCTAGTTAATCTCTGCTCTTGCTGGGAACAGTTTGACCAACTCGGCTGAGATTGGTTCATGTATATTGAAATTTTGGTGTGTTTTGCATGCATGGACAGATCCATTTGCTGATGCAAATGCAGCTGAGAACTCAGGTGCGGGTGCAAAGGAATATGTTCACATCCGCATTCAACAGCGCAATGGGCGGAAAAGCCTGACAACCGTACAGGGTTTGAAGAAGGAGTTCAGCTATACCAAGATTCTGAAAGATCTCAAGAAAGAGTTTTGCTGCAATGGCACTGTTGTCCAGGACCTTGAACTTGGACAGGTACTCACCATTCTCTTCCCTTGCCCGGACTAAACCTTAATCCAATCTTAGCTTGTTGGGATTGATTGACAATCTGGCTGTTTAATGAACTTAGGTTATCCAGCTCCAAGGTGATCAGAGGAAGAATGTCTCCACCTTCCTTGTTCAGGTGATTTCTTAGGGCATATATATATATTCTGGTTGTACTGTAGCAGAGGTTTGTGCATGCATGCATGCATGGTGTTCCAAGGATTAAGGTTTTAATTGTTTTGTGAAGCAGGCTGGGATTGTGAAGAAGGAGCAAATCAAGATTCATGGTTTCTGAATTGCAGCAAACAGGAATGCTCTTGTTGCCACTTCTGCTGCTGCTCATCTGGAATGTTACCAATGTTTCATTGTATATATGTTGTACCTAATCTTTAGTGTTGTTATGTTTTTTGTATATATGTTGTACCTAATCTTTAGTGTTGTTATGTTTTTTTAATTGTGAAAAATGATGTAATTTCATAGAATGAAGCATGTATATGATCTTTTGTACATATTGTCTCAAACTATGTAAATCTTATTCTACTTTTGATCACTAGATTATACTGTCATTTCTACTTTGGTCATCAACTTTCATTTCTTCTGATTTTACTTTTAGCTCAAAATACTCAACATGCCATCATTTCGTAAAAATTTGATTTACAAGAAACATTACAATTGCTACAAGAAAATGCACTTTAACTAAAACTCATCTTGTGACCCTAACCGACAAAGGGTCACAAAGAGATAATAGGAGTGTTTAACAGACAAAGGACCACAAAGAGATAAAAGGAGTGTTTGGTAAATGATTGTTAACTGATTAAATTAGTGTGTTTAACTAGTTAATAACATTAGCTGATTGTAAAAAGATGTTTGATAAATTAACTGTTAGCTAATAACTGATTACATACAAAATGACTTTCTCAAAAAGCTTATCGAAGAAGAAGAAAATTGCCTAATTAATCAAACACTCATATTGGTTGTTTAACCAAGTCAAACAGCTAATAGTGATCAAACAAGTCAAAATTAGCTGATAGGCTAACTATACCAAACAGGGCCAAACCAACCTTAGCTGATCAACTCAAACCAAGAACAAGAACTCTACCCTACTATATTATTTAAGAGTAATCTGGACTAAAAGTTGTAAACTTTTTTAAAAGAAAATGCCCAAAAGTGAAACAAATCAAAGTTGATAACCAAGAGTGAGCTAGAATTGGAATAAACTATGTATATAGGAGTCAAAAAAACACAAAATCATATCACTAGGAAACCTGAGGATAATAGTGAGATTGTAATCCAATGAAGGTGTTATTTAGCACAAACAGAAAGCATGCACCTAGGCGTTGCAAAGAACACCATTTTCGACAATTACTGTATGTTCCATTACATTACAAGGCATCATAGTCTTTTGAGTTTTGACATTAGTAGAAGTCAGACCAGCCAAGCTTGTGTTCTTATACATTGCTTTGCTTGTATAACTTGGTGTCGAGAACTTGCTTTCCACACATTGCACACACTCCTGCACAAGAAAAGAACTTATATAAATGCGACAGAACGATAAATTTTGTGATGTGTAGAAGATGTATGTGAAGCCTTTTAGGCATCACATGCTACCTTTGCTGTAAGCACAGGTGTGACAATACTTGGCATCTTGATGTACTTGTTGTTTACAGATAATGCACTTGGTATTTCCATATGGTGTCCATCTGCAAGATAGTATTTTTTTAAATACAAAAAAAATTACTAGAAATAATGCAATAATCACAAGATTGGACCCCTATTTTAATTTTAAGATTACATACAAGTGAATTTTGAAGACCAACCAAAATACATTATACATCAGCTTGAATTAGAACCTAATGCACTTTATGATGAATGTTCAACCCATGTAAATGTTGCTTAAGGAGAAATACCAAGTGTTCAGTTTAGCACAAATATCAATATAGATCGTTTCACCTACTCATTATTCTTTGATACCAATTTAATAAAACTTGAAAATCATTAAACAGTATAACACTTATAGAATCACACTATTCTAGTAAATTGGAAGATAATGATCACCAATCAGAGCAAAACCCAGGACACTAGTTCAGTAACCCAAAGAATTAAATCCCAACACCACCACATGTTTCTTCCATCACCATAGGAGAAACCAACGATCTTAAGACAAACAACTACTAGCAAGACAATGTTTAACAGAAGAAAAAATTTAAGAGAAAAAGATTTATAGGAATCATGGCCACAATAACCATTGAAGTGCACAAGAACAGAATGCATACGCTTTTGCAGGGTTAAACTTAGGCTCTCAATCAAAATCCAGCAGACTTTTTTTATTATTATCAAAAAAAAAAAAAAAAAAAAAAAAAAAACATCTTTCTGAATATTACACATCATAATGCCAGGAAAAATGCAACGTTGCGTTCACGGGCTTAGCTCACTTGTTCAGTAGGCAGTATTTGGAAGAAGGAAAATGCAATGTTAAATTTGTAGTGTACTCTTGGCAACCATAATGTCAGCCAACCCCAATAAAAGTAAATAAATTAGAGTGAGAAATTTATCTCAGCATCTTACTAAGTTGCCTCTCAAACTCTTCCCACTTCTGGTTACAATATTTTGAAATTATATTAAAATTTCTCAGTAGCAATGCTCAAGGGAGATTTCTTATTGCTACTAAAAGCCTTTCAAACAGGATTTTCACATTTTCCTCCAATAACACATCACTGCTACTGTGTAACAGTGTAACACTATGCAAATCAGCTGATCTTAAGCAAAATTTCACGCAACAACTAGAAATTTGCTTAGTGTGGAAAATTCATTCTCTGATCATCCTCCAAATTCGATCAATTTAGCAGCTCTATCTGAGAAAATTGAGAAAATCACATAATAAAAAAGGAAATTGAGAAAACCAAACCTGTTCTTCTTAGAGAGGAGTTTATTCTCGTTGATCTTGCGCCCTCCACCTTCCGTCGTGTTATGAGCTCCTTCTTTCCACTTGTCCGGCACTATCACCTTCCCGAGCTTCTTCTCACCTGCATCCACCGCCCAATTCACAAAACCCTAACGTTTTCAACATCCACAAACTTTTCACCGTTTACGCGAGAGTTTATGTACACATGGAGAGAGAGATGAAACTTACACTTTTGGCAGACCATTTTTGTGCAGCGATGTATCTCTGAATCGAAGGTGAACCAGAAAATTGAACAGAGGTAAGAGCCAAGGCTACACGGAGTCACGGACCCGATGGAAATCGGGCAGAAGTTAATTAATATATATGCCTTCCTAGGTCGATGCGGTAGCGCCCTCAGGTAATGTTCCTTAGAGGCGTGTATCACTGCATTATAACCGCTAAGGGATCGTTTGGTTCACGGAATGTCAGATTATCTTAGGGAATGTTAGATTGTTGGGAATGTTAGATTGTTGGGAATGTTAGATTTCTGTATTTGGTTAAAATTATGGTATGTAATATAATCATGTTTGGTTTAGGGTTATCTTTTATTCAGACACTATAATATCCTTAACATATTTTTATATATTTTAATAAATTTAAAAATTAAAATAAATAAATAAAATAACGGTATCATATATAATTACATGATTTTAAAATATTAACTAAAATATTGAACTTGAGAAACAAAATTATTTTATATCCTAACCTAACATAATAAAAATAAAAAATATATAATTACAAAAATAATTATATATATGTGTGTGTGTGTAATAAACTAACATAACTAAGGTTATCTTACATAACCTTAGAAATTAAAGGGAATCACATTCCCTTCAAAATCCTATGGGGAGGGAATGTGACATTCCTGGGGAATGTTAGATTCCCTGAGATAATGTGAACCAAACATAGGAATGTGAGCTTTGGAATGTCACATTCCCTTGGTTATGTTATTGACAGGATAATAGGGCTAGCACCCGACCCGGATCATAAGTGTGCATCTGACCCGGCACCATAGTTGACCCGACACCGCATGGATGCTCCAACGGTTAGAATTCCAACAGGTGTCACATCTAATGTCATTGAAGCCACCATTGATGCCACCATTGATGAGAGAGAGTTAAAGTCTCAACGCCTCATTCATGACTCTTCATATTCCTGCCGTTAGCTCAGCTCCCCAAGGATGTCTCTTCATGTTGTTACCGTTAGGACCTAGCATAAATAGAACTTCCCTCAGCTGAGCAGGACACACTGTACTTTCTATACTGAGACAAAGGCAATGTAACTATTGTTACTCTCTTATTCGTTACTCTTATATTATATTTCCGGTAACATTATTACCGTCATTGGTGCTTTCATTGAGAGCCTGAGTCCAATACTCAAGCAGGCTACAACACAACTTTTTTTCTCTTTCAACAGCAAGCTTGAAAGAATGGCGTCCCGCAGCTCCCACGGTTCTCGCAACGTGAACAATGGCAACGCCTCAGGTGACCTCCGTGACCTACTCACCAACAATCGCGGAGGGGACCTCCGAGAACATCTCAACAACGGGAGGCCCGGGGACCTTCGAGATCAACTCAACAATGGAGGAGACCTTCGAGACCAACTCAACAATGGAGGAGACCTCCGAGACCAACCCCACAATGGAGGGGCGAACCAAGTCATGAACCTCCAGGCGACTGCCGATGTCATTCAGCAAGCAGTGACGGCGGCGCTAAATCAGGTGGCGGTGGGACTGCAAGGTCAAGTGCCCCCGCCGCGGCCCCAGGAAATAAGGGTGGAGACCCAAAGAAGTGCACCGGCCAGACGACAACCAGGCCCTTCCCAATCTGCACCAGAACGACTGGGACAAAGGGCGCCCGTGCGACAAAGATTAGGATCACGGGCCGAGGGATCCTCTACCAGAGGTCCTCGCCAACACGAAAACAGAGAAGCCGAGAGATCACCCACAGAGGAGGTGGGCGAGTCTCGGGAGCCGACCCCACGCCAACACGTTGATGAGTCGGCCTTACGTCGACACTTGGAGGAGCGACGCGTCGAAGAGCCGGCTCCGCGACGGCACTCGGCGGGAAAGCGACGCGTTGGTGAACTAGCTCCACGACGACACATGGAGGAGCGGCAGCCGGCCCCGCGCCGGCACCCTGACGAGTCGGCCCTGGTCGAGAGGCTGCAGAGAAGAATCGAGGAGTTAGCAAGAAGGGTGGAGGCACGGGAGCAGTCGCCGGAACCCGAGGTACGGATGACAGCACCATTCTCTCCAAGCATCATGGACGTACCTTTTCCGAGGGACTTTAGGTTGCCCGCTATCAAGGAGTACACGAGGGCCACTAACCCACGTGTCCACATGACGAGGTACAAGGCTGCTATGGTAATGATCGGGGCAGGGGACGCCATCATGTGCCGAGCGTTCTTATCCACCCTGGATGGAGCGGCCCAAGACTGGTTCAACACAATCCCAGATGGGTCGATCCAAAACTTTGGGGAGTTGTCCAAGAGCTTCCTAACATACTTCTCCGGTAGCATACAGCGTAAGAAACCCTTCTCTCACCTCTGTGTAGTGAAGCAAGATAGAGGCGAGAGCCTAAAAAACTTCCTGATCAAATGGAAAAAGGAAGTCAATAATGTCTACGACTTCGACTCCAAGGCAGCGATCCCAATATTTATCCATGCCTTAAGATCAGGGTATTTCCACAAGCAGCTGAACGCCCACCACCCCCGTTCTTACGAAGATTTGATGAGGACGGCTAGCCGCTATGCCGAGGCAGAGGACGTCGACAGGAAAAAGAAAGATGAGGAGGACAACAGGAAAAACGGGAAACCTGGGAAAGCTGGTCCGCCCAGCCAGACACCACTCTCGAACCACCCGACCGCAGGGAAGGGCCGAGACTACGAACGACCTCGCCTGGTCCCCTTGCGTAATTTAACTCCTCTTACCCATCCCGTCAGTGTCATTCTAAAGCAAGCTGAGGAGATGGGAATGGTAGAATCCCCGAGGAGTGCATGAAGGTCTCCCCAAAGGCAGACCAAACAAAGTACTGCAGGTTTCATAGGCATGCCGGACATGATACGGATGAGTGTCACGTTTTGAAGAGACAAATAGAAGACCTCATCCAGCAGGGCTACTTCCGACATTTCGTCAAGCGATCCAAGCAGCAGCAACAGCCGCAACACAATCCACCAAAAAATATCTGGATGAATGAGGATGGCACCGAGCCGTCCACCTCAAACGCCAAAAAAAGAGACCACGACCAAATATCTGAGCAGAGTGATAGCGAGAAAGAAACCGAGGTGGCGCCCAGACGACAAAAGAAGCACACCATACACTTTATCTATGGTGGACCCGCAGGGGGCGACACGCCCGCAGAAAGAAAGAAGTGGAGCCGACAGATATACGTGGGAGAAGTGGCGAGTCTTCCTAGAGAAAAGAAACAGAGACAGGAGGCCATCACCTTCTCTAATGATGACCTCCCAGAGGGCCCGCTACCCCATCGTGATGCCCTGGTGATTGAGATGGACGTCAACGATGTAATTATCCGCCGCATCTTAGTCGACACGGGAAGCTCAGTCAATGTGATATATTACGATGCCTTCACCAAGTTGGGGATACCTAGGAACCAGCTCAAAGAAGTACGTACGCCACTCTCTGGATTTACGGGTGATTCAATGGAGACGGAGGGGTCGGTGGCCTTACCAATGGAGATAGGCACGAGCCCTAACATTCGCAAACTTGACATGGAATTCATCGTGGTAAGACTCACTTGTGCGCACAACATCATTTTGGGGAGGCCGGCACTGGAGGACCTCAAGGCCATAGTGTCGGTGGAACACTTGTGTATGAAGTTCCCTACTCCGAATGGGATAGGGGTCGTCAGAGAAAACCAGCGAGCAGCCCGCAGTTGTTACGTAAAAGCATGCAAAAAGATTGGCGGAAAGAATCCACAAGTCCACACCATTTGCAAGGATGATCGATCGGGTACGGAACTCAGAAAATTTAATTAGATATTATCAGTAATACGATGTAGTCGTGGCCCGCCCAGACCTGTAAACAATATTTAGTAATCATGGTCCGCCCAGGTTACTTCGCTCTCAAATAAAAAGGTTTTCAAAACCACATTCAATCAACCACGGCCGTCACTACACTCTAAAAAAAAAAAAAAAAAAAAAAAAAGGCCGAGGCGCGGTGCCTCGGCTATCGGCTGAGGCTGAGGCTGAGGCGCGGCGCCTCGATAAAAAATAAATAAATAAATAAATAAATAAAAAGGGGGCCGGGCAGCGTTTCAGCCACTCCTGGTCGAGGCGACGCCTCGACCACTCGAAAAAAAAAAAAAAAAAAAAAAAAAAAAAAAAAAAAAAAAGGGTCGAGGCGCACGCCTCGGCCAAGTGGCTGAGGCGACTCCTCGGCCAAGTGGCTGAGGCGACTCCTCGGCTACTCGAAAAAAAAAAAAAAAGGGTCGAGGCGACGCCTCAGCCACATGGCCGGGGCACACGCCTCGGCCAGATGGCTGAGCGGCCTCAGCCCAAGGCCGAGGTGCACCCTGGTCGAGGCGACGCCTCGGCTGAGGCCGCGCCTCAGCCCAAGGCCGAGGCGCACGCCTCGGCCACTCGAAAAAAAAAAAAAAAAAAAAAAAAAAAGGAGTCGAGGCGCACGCCGCGGCCAAGTGGCCGGGGCGCACGCCTCGGCCAAGTGGCCGAGGCGACGCCTCAGCCACATGGCCGGGGCACACGCCTCGGCTAGATGGCTGTGCCTCGGCCTCCTGGTCGTGGCAACGCCTCGGCCACTCAAAAAAAAAAAAAAAAAAAAAAAGGATTGAGGCGCACACCTCAGCCAAGTGGCCAAGGCGACGCCTCAGCCACATGGCCGGGGCTCACGCCTCGGCCACTCAAAAAAAAAAAAAAAAAAAAAAAAAGGGGTCGAGGTGCACGGCTCGGCCAAGTGGCCGAGGCGACGCCTCATCCACATGGCCGAGGCGCACGCCTCGGCCAAGTGCGCCTCTCGGCCGTGGCCGAAGCGCAGTGCCTCGGCCACAAGGCGAGGCACCCGCCTCAGCCTGGCTGAGGCGGCGCCCCAACCCGAAGCTGGCCCACGCCGCAAAAAAAAAAAAAAAAAAAAAAAAAAAAAAAAGGTAATTTTAAACCGCAGAAACCGACGGATGGTGACAAGAGCTGATAGAAAGGTGCTCAAATTGCTTAGGCAGGAAGGGATCTGGAAAACAAAATCGCATATCCTAACTCAATCAGGATGGCACAGTATCACGATTGATTCAGCCTTACTCCCAAGTCAACTCAAACACATTCGTAGACTCAGGGGTAGGGGGGACTGGTGACAGGATAATAGGGCTAGCACCCGACCCGGATCATAAGTGTGCATCTGACCCGGCACCATAGTTGACCCGACACCGCATGGATGCTCCAACGGTTAGAATTCCAACAGGTGTCACATCTAATGTCATTGAAGCCACCATTGATGCCACCATTGATGAGAGAGAGTTAAAGCCTCAACGCCTCATTCATGACTCTTCATATTCCTGCCGTTAGCTCAGCTCCCCAAGGATGTCTCTTCATGTTGTTACCGTTAGGACCTAGCATAAATAGAACTTCCCTCAGCTGAGCAGGACACACTGTACTTTCTATACTGAGACAAAGGCAATGAAACTATTGTTACTCTCTTATTCGTTACTCTTATATTATATTTCCGGTAACATTATTACCGTCAGTTATATAACCTGAACCAAACGCCCCCTAAGACCATTGACTGTTACGCTACTAATAATTAACAAAGATGAAATCTCACCTTTTTTCCCTGAATTATATACCTATAGCATTTTTACCCCCTAAATTATTGAAGTGGCTATTTTTCTCCCCGAAATGTTAAATGGACATATTCACCTTAAAATAAATATTTTATTTATTTTTTTCTCCAACAAATTATGACCATAATTTGGTTCAAATCAAACAAACACTATAGCACCCGAAATATTCCAATTACAATTTAGAATCGAAACCCGATATTTATAGTTTATTAAAATCGTGAACCGGAATAGACGGTTCATGTTCTGAACTGAAAAAAATAAAATACATTTATTATTGAATTTAGACTATTTTAAAATAAAAACTAAAATTTTAAAATAAAGACAGTTCAAAATCGCGAACCGGATCCAGAACCGCCGGTTTACGGTTCAAGATTCAAATTTTTTATACATAATTTTAATAAATTGACATCTAAATATTAGGTTCTAGATCTGAATCATAACCGGAAACTTTTAATTCGATTGCTTTAGTGTCCGGTTCAGTTCAAACGAAACCGTGGTCATCCCTACGTATACGCAATAATTTGTTGGAGAAGAAAAATAAATAAAATGTTTACTTTAAGGATAGAAATATCAATTTAATTTATCAGGGGGAAAATCACCACTTTTAGAATAATTGAGGGGGCTAATGTGCTTACCTAAATAATTGAGGGGAAAAAGTACTATAAGTATATAACTCAGGGAAAAAAAGTGTCATTTTCTCATTAACAAAATTACTTTCAATTCTACTTTGTTTTTTCATTTTCTTTTTATTTTTAGTCAGCAATTTCAACTTCAGTACATGAGTATTGAAATTTTTTCACTTTTTAAAACAAAAATAATCAGGGGTGTATTCATTAGAAATAAGCTGTAATAGAGTCAGGTGGGAACAGATCTCAATACATAGCAGTAGAAAGATGTAGATGCTAAAGTATGTGTTAAATAATTGTCTGATCTAGAAAATTTAACTGAACATAAATCAAATAAGGATGTAGATGCACTGCTGCTATCAATAGCATAGCCGATGTACGAACGAACTGTAGATGGTGGTGAGATAAGATTACGCTGAAGTGTCAGGCAATCTGTGTATAGCTCTATAGACCGCTCGCCTCGATCTGTTAACCACGACAAGGCCTCCTTGCATGCGAATGCCTCGGCCATTAGTGGTGAAAAATAATCCGGAAGAGGAGCACGGAAGGCTGAAACATACCCCCCATTTATGTCGAGAAGGATCGCTCCAACCGTAGCCTTGCCCGTCTCGTGGTGGTACCCGGCATCGATGCGGCAGACTTTGGACGGTGGCACGGTGATCGGTACAGCAGATGCAACTGGATGTGCGTGAGATGGTGGCGGCATGTCGGCACTCGGCAGTGCCAGGCTGCTCGGTTAGTGGCTGTGCGACGGAACTCGGTCGTGCATGGTGCCAAGCCTGCATGGTTGCGGTGGCAGCCGCAAGTAATCTCTTTGGCCGCGGAAGACAAGCATCCCAAATCGCTTCATTCCGTGCTCTCCAAATATGATATAGAATTGTTGCTGCATAGATACTTCCATTAGAGTCTAGAACATTTAAAAGTTCACTAAACCAAATATGAAAAATATTTGTCACAATATTGGAGATTGAAAGATTGGATTGATCCCGTATGGCTTTTGCAAAATCACACAACACCAAAGCATGCATAGTGTCCTCATAGATTATTCCACACATGGCACAATTTGGATCCACATCAACTCTTTTTATAAGCAAATTTCTAGTAGTGAGGATGATATTACTAGGCAGTATTTGGAAGAAGGAAAATGCAACTTTAAATTTGTAGTGTATTCTTGTCAACCATAATGTCAGCCAACCCCAATAAAAGTAAATAAATTAGAGTGAGAAATTTATCTCAGCATCTTTACTAACTTGCCTCTCAAACTCTTCCCACTTTTGGTTACAATATTTTGAAATTATATTAAAATTTCTCAGTAGCAATGCTCAAGGGAGATTTCTTATAGCTACTAAAAGCCTTTCAAACAGGATTTTCACATTATCCTCCAATAACACATCACTACTACTGTGTACCAGTGTAACACTATGCAATTCAGCTGATCTTAAGCAAAATTTCATGCAACAACTAGAAATTTGCTTAGTGTGGAAAATTCATTCTCTGATCATCCTCCAAATTCGATCAATTTAGCAGCTCTATCTGAGAAAATCACATGATGAAAAGGAAATTGAGGAAATCAAACCTGTTCTTCTTAGAGAGGAGTTTGTTCTCGTTGATCTTGCGCCCTCCACCTTCAGTCGTGTTATGAGCTCCTTCTTTCCACTTGTCCGGCACTATCACCTTCCCGAGCTTCTTCTCACCTGCATCCACCGCCGAATTCACAAAACCTAACGTTTTCAACATCCACAAACTTTTCTCCGTTTACGCGTGAGTTTATGTACACATGGAGAGAGAGAGATGAAACTTACACTTTTGGCAGACCATTTTTGTGCAGCGATGTATCTCTGAATCGAAGGTGAACCAGAAAATTGAACGGAGGTAAGAGCCAAGGCTACACGGAGTCACGACCGGATGGAAATCGGGCAGAAGTTAATTGACATATATGCCCTCCTGGGTCGGTGCGGTCGCGCCCTCAGGTAACGTTCCCTAGAGGCGTGCACCACTGCATTATAACCGCTAAGATCATTGACTTTTACGCTAGTAATTAACAAAATTATTTTGTTTTTTATTTTTAGTCATCAATTTCAACTTCAGTACATGAGCATTGGAATTTTTTCACTTAATTATATTATTAAGAGTAATGTAATTCACCCTTAAAAAAAATTATAATTTTCCTCCTAACATGACATCATTTGATTGGTTACTTTACTTTTTCATTAAAAGTTGGTGGGTCAACTAATTCATGACACCCAATGATTTTAAGACATGTCATGGATAAAATTGAAAAAGATAAAAGGAAATACTATTGTATAGAGTATTGCAAATTGCACGTCAAACCGCAAAGACTAGCCAGCATGATCTTAAGGACTTTGATGCAAATTTCATCAAAATTGACCATAAAACACTATTGGATCTTTGGATCTCATGATGGCCGCTAATTTCCTTAAAGTTAAGAGCTTGTTTGATCTTACATGCCAAGCTACTGCAAATCTAATCGCGAAGATGACAGTGGAGGAGCTCCGCAAATTTTATAACATTCAAAATGACTTCACACCTGACGAAGAAGAAGAAGAAATTTGTGAGGAGAATGCTTCAGGGTTTGAATAAATTCATATATATTTTAGATGCTAGCAGAACTTTAGGATCAATATCGTTTTAGTTCATTTAATATAATTGTATTGCAGAACATAAATTATGTGTGATTTTGTGAAGGAAGCTGAATTGTTGTGTTATCTTCCTTCTCTTCCTGGCCTGGATCAATTATCCTTCGATCAACCACTTTTGAGACCAAAACTTAGTAAAAAATCTATAATTATTATATTCATAACATGAATTAAAAAAAAAATAATTGAACAAGAAGACGGGCTTCACTATAAGTACACTATCAGATAGTGACTACAGAGTTCTCGCAAATCAATGAATAAAACCGAACAACAAACAATATTACACCAATATAATGTACACCGAACCAAAACTGAATAACATACAACTCTATCAGACAAGAACCCGAATCATTAGCTAAAAACATCCTCAATCGACAACAAATCAATCAGTCCCAGGGGCTGAGCCAGCACTCCTCGAGCTTGGTCGGATACCTTTCGGTGTCTGTGCAGTAATCATAGATGACGAGGTTCCTGAGCAGCCAGCCATAGTCCAACTTCTCGTCGCTCGTGAGGTGCCACGCCTTGTACTGATCCCACCAGTTATCAGTCGTGGTGGCCACGCAGTCCGGGAAAGGATCCTTCCACTGGCAAGCCTCGACGTTGAAGTCCTTGTAGGTCGACACGAATGGGGCGTTTTTCCAGTCCGTCTTCTCCAGCCCGCCCCTCGTTGCCCAGTCGTCCGCGTTCCAGATGCTCGAGAACAGGTACATTGGCTTCTCGTTCGGGAAGAAGTTGTTCGTGTAGTTTGCATTTTTGTATACTCTTATGGGCACCCTGTCCACATAGAATCTGTAATATGGAAACACCACAAATTGGATCAGGAGAAGCAAACAACATTTGCCTGGCAAATTTTTCAATGGATCAGGTACACCTTCCATAGTAAATCTTAATCCAAAACGATTATACATTTCAGTTAACATATTATATACTTTCAGTTAACTATTATGTAATATGATAACATCTAGATTATCATTTCAAATCATAGATTCGAACTACACCTATATACATTGCTGGAAATTATGAAATTTCCGATCACTCGAAAGTGATCGATCAAGTCAAAAGTAAAAAGTGGTCGGAAATAGCAACAAAAGTTTTTCCAGATACCAAAAGTGGTCGGAACAAGACTTTCGACTTGATTTAAGATCAAGTTCAGGTGATCAGAAATTTCATAATTTTCAACAGTGATATATAATGAGTCAAATGAAAAAGATTGAATCTAACCAATTACTAATCATGACGTTATAAACTTATTACGGTTTTTAACTGTCCAACCAACTCGATTGAGGATTGAATGACTTACACAATCATGTGAGAGTTCCAGCGGATAGAATAGGTGTGGAAATCCTCGGTGGGGTCGAACCAGAGGACATGGCGCATCTCACGACCGCCGGTGCCATTCTTGTACACATTGGTCTGAATAAGGTAAGGCTGCCCTGTTCTGTTCCCCAAGAACTCGAAATCCAGTTCGTCTCTCGTCCCCCATCCTGCGGCTTTATCATCCAGCTCAGAACACATCTGCGCCATTAAACAACAACATTATAATACCTCATCTCCATCCTCAAACCACCAATCAATCAATCAATGGGCATTTCATCTTACATAGAACGCCGTCACCACCCCAGCAGAGTCGCCCCCCACCAGCTTCAACTTCATGCTGAACCACCCAAATCTGTACTTCTGCTTCGTCGTAAACCCACAACCTGTTCGATAAATTGACTGAATGAAAAATAATTACGAGAAAAAAATGTGATGGTTTTGACACCGACAATGAATTTAATGAAATGTTGGGATAGAGATAAGGTTACCTGCTTTTTTGTCTAGCGATAGATACCAGATCTGTCCATCTTCGGAGGTTTTGAAGTTGGTTGCTGGGCAGGATTTGCTGAAGTTGTCGTCGAAGGAACCGGAGAGCGCCGCCGCCGACGAGGAAATGATGGCCAGAAGAGATGCAGTGAAGAGAAGGGTAGCCATTGATGAAGATGGCTTTCTCTCCATTGATCCAGGAATGGAGTTCTTGGGAGAAGAAGCTGAAGCCTGAAGGGTATTTCTCTGCTGGATCCCAGTGAGAACTCGTCTAAATCACTGGTATTTTATGTCTCCATCAGACCATCACTCCTCCATCAAAGGGTAAAAGTGGGAATAAAAATTTTCACCATTTTCGATTTTGTCTGGGTATTTCTTGTTTTTACTTAATTGGCCTTGTGGTATTGCCTAAATGTCCCAAATCTCCCTCCTTTTAATAAAGTTGTCTTCTTAAATTAAATAAAAGCTCTGCCAAATTCATTTTCTATAAAAATAATCCAACTTTTTACATTATTAAGAAAAAAAAAATTTAATGGTAGTGCAAAATATATTATATATATATATATATATATATATATATATATATATATATATATATATATATATATACTTACATATATTAATGTGGTTTCATGACTCAATCTTACTATTATTGACTATTTGCGGATAGATCAATCCAATTAATTGAAAAAAAATTCGGTTAAAGGCTAAATACTCCTGGTTTAAATTGCAGGTTTTAATTTTTGTAAATAAAAAATAATATTTTTTGCAATATAAATTTTGAAAATTGGAATGGGTAGGAATGGAATATTAGAAGAAGGGCATTTTAGATTTTTAGATAGGGAATGGTGGCAAGAAGACTGACAAGCTGGAGAAAATAATTGCTCTATGGAGAAAGTCCAGGCTGCCCATGAAGGGAATTTTGGGGGTGAAAATTAACTTAAAGCAAAATGTGGGGTCGGGATGTTTGCACAAAATTATAATATTCGAAACTTCTCGGATTTAACAACTGGATTTTGCAGTGAGCGAAACGACACAGACATCGTGCGAAAGATTACTTGCTATTATTAGCATAAATTAAGGGTACTAATTACTAAAGCATGATTACAGTAATGTTATTTGACTTTACTATTTAATCTTCTAATCTTCATGTCTTTCTTAAGGTATACAATGCCATACAGTCGACACTGATACTTTTTACACTACATACAATTTAACAAAATTTTGTAGAAGGATTGAACAAAAGTCAATGTTAGGCTTCGAATTCAAGAATCGAGTCCAGCATCCCGTCATTAAAATATAGTATTTGATGGGGTAAAATCCACCGGATATACATATTCATATATTTTATTAAGTAAAGAACATTTAGTTACAAGGGCTCGGGCGGTTACGACCAAAGGTTGGAGGTTCTCGAGCATATAAATGTTCCAAAGAGAGAGAGAGAGTCAAAAGTCCCTTCTACAAGAGTCTAACGGGATATTTATAGGAAACTGGTGGGGACACATGTCGGAGGTCAGCATGCATGTCACATGTCCTCCATGCACTCACCAATCTCGTCGGCTAAGGAGAATTGAAGTGTCCGCGTGTAGCGGAATATCTGCGTAGCAAACAGTTATCGCGCTCAGTTCAAGTGTTGCTGCCAATGGACTTCGGTGAGGGCTTATCTCATGAGCTCGGTGTCGTATCTGAGCATGAAGGAGCAAGAGTCGAAGTTCAACAAGGCGGATAAGAGGCATAATACCCATATCGGATAGGTCAATGCTCTCTCAGGGTCAGATCTGATCGGGAAAAGATCCTCATATGCATAGAGCCTGATCGGGTTAGGTGCTCGATACATATGAGTTGGTGTACTGGGGCTTCTTTTCTTGGGGGGGGGGGGGGTGAGGAGTGGGGGTAGTAGTAAGGGATCAATCTAATAATTGGTATCAAAGTTAAGTTAATTGGTTATGCAAGCATAAAGAAATAAATGGATTTTTTAGTATTAATTACTTATAATTTTTGAAATAGTGGTAAAGTTTTGATATATATATGATAGATATAAGTTTCTGATGAGCTAATAATTAATGGGTATGTGTGATGAACCAACATGCCAAGTGCAAAGGTTGGACAATAATTGCTTATAAAAAACCTGTCTTTTGTTCATCCATCAAAAATGCAACTCCCCATGTGAGTACCACCATGCATATTACAGCTTTGATATATATGTAGTTTTGTTTTCTTTTCGAAAGTGTTTGGCTCCCCAATACTAGAAGGAGAACCAAATTATTATTATTATTATTATTATTATTATTATTATTATTATCCCACATGGACAACAGGGAGGATCGTGGGAAGGCTGTCGGTGGAAAATGTTGGAATACAGTAACATTTGCATATACTTTTCTTGATTTATCATCCATGCATCCAATCAATCATTGGATTGTAGAATATTACTTGCAAGATGAAACAATCAATTATATATATTAACCAATAGGGTAACTCAAGTGGTAAATGAATTCTCTTTGTGAAAAATTTTTTTGAGATAACTCGAGTTTGATTCTCACAAGTAACGATTCTTTTTGGATAAGCTCTTGTGCCTCATCGGGTAGACCTGGACTGTTAAACAGACAGGGAAAGACCCAGATCACATTATGATTTACACCAACAAAATCAATTATATATATTCACTTATTCAGTCGCAGCTTATCAAGTCAAAGAGTGGAATAAAAAAAAAAAAAAAAAAAAAAAGTAGTCACTTTTGAAATGCGGAGATCAAAGAATTAGATTGAAGTTGGGTTTTCAAATATGACAACTTTTAAACTAGTTGGAATTGACATTAATATACTAATTTCATTTGAGTTATTTTAATGTTAGTTAGAATAGATCTTAGATTATTCGTTTATTTGTATATTTAAAATACTTCAATTTTACTCTCAAGAACCATGAAAAGTGGTGTTATATATGACAATTTGAAAGCCTTACAAATTTTGGAATTGGAAGGCATTTAATTAAATTCATGAGCCGATTTGGATATATATATATATATATATATATATATATATATATATATATATATATATTCATGCAACGGCACCTACGATTACTTGAGGGGATTGAGGAATGTGACAATCTTTGCATCTCGATGGGTTGAAAAATTAGAGAAAATATATGTGCTTTACTCGTTTGATGTTGGAGAGTGATTATGCAAACGTGATTATTTGGTTAACCAACATTGTTGGTGGTGATAATCCTAAAGAGTCTATTTTTAGTAATTAATTAAAAGCATGTAAGGTTGAAATGTATTGTGAACTTGGTCAGTATGAAGTGTAAGTGTGTCATGTTTATCGAGCAAAAAATAGCAAATTGTTTGGTCAAATTTTCTGTCAAATAAATTGTAACTTACAAGTACCTGAGAATTAATTTTCCTTTTCTATTCTAAATTAATGATTCACATAGAAGATAGTGTAGGGTTTCTCCAACTATATATGCAGTTTTTCCTATTTAGTGTAATTGTTTATCAAGGCTCCCCGTCTCAACCCCTCCAATTAATCCAAACAAATTTGTAAGTAAAAATTGTATAGTTAAAAATAAAATTGAGCAAGTTTGAAAGTTGAAAATTAAAATGATAAAATTTTATTCTCTTCGTCTCTAATTGATTATCTCATTTGCTTTTTGCACGGGTTTTAATACAACATAACAAATGTTATTGACTTTTTAATTTTGCCCCTCAAAAGTAAGTGTTATTTGTACAAAGTACAATTGTACTTATCTCTAAAAATTTGAAAAGTCAAAAGGGTAAATTGGAAAATGTAGATTGATAGTTATGTTCGATTTTGGAAAGATGACACTATTTTGGGACAAACTAAAAAGGAAAGTAAGACAGATAAAATGGGACGGATGAAGTAATAGTTAAGGGACCAAATTGGATATTAACTTAATGAGAAAATGGTCAAATAGGCATATAAACTTTAGCCAAAAGGGCAATTAAGTCCCTGAATTTTAAAAAAGAGCAATTAAACATTTAAATTTGTCAAAATGAGTCAATAAAGCCCATTAACCGATAAATGACCTGTTATAACAGGTCATTTTAATTCCGGCTAAAAAATCCGATGACTTGGCCATCTACGGCAGAAGGTGACCAACTGACTGCTTTCCACCGGGGCCACTGGAGAAGGCAACTAGATCTAGTTGTCTCTCCAATGGAGAAGGCACTGGTCGCCTTCTCCACAAGGCGACCGAACTGGCTGCTTTTCCACCGGAGAAAACGATCAGTCGTCTTCTCTGGTGGAAAAGCCGCCGGAAGTTGTTTTAATGGTGGTCAAAGGTGGTTAACGTGATATTATTAACAGGTTACCAGTAAATCGAACTTATTTGACTCATTTTGACAAATTTAAGTGTTTAATTATTCCTTTTTTAAAATTCAAGAGCTTCATTACCCTTCTAACTAAAATTTAGGTACCTATTTGACCATTTTCTCTAACTTAATCTATTTGTTACAAATCGAATAATACAACGGTAAATGATAAGTATATTACTAAAAAGTCACCACATAATCACATATTTTAACAGAGGAAAATAAGAAATAAAATAACTGTTTTTTTTCTAAGGAATAAGGTTCAAATTGGCCACTGAACGTAACCTGAAAATGCAATTAGGCCATTGAACGAAAAAAAAGTGCAATTAGGCCACTGAACACTCCAAAAATGTGCAATTTCACCCGATAGCAGGTTACCCTCAATTTTAGCAGGTTATCTGCTTACGTGGCAGCTGAGTTGACATTTTTAATAAATTTTAATTAATTTTTAATAAATTTTAATAATAACTTTTTATTAAAAAAAATTTTAAAAATAAAAACGACTTTATTTTATTTTTTATTTAATTTTATAAAATTTATTATTAAAATTAATTATTAAAAATTATTTAAAAATTATTAAAAATGCCAACTAAGCTGCCACGTAAGCAGGTAACCTACTAAAATTGATGGTAACCTGCTATCCAGTAAAATTGCATACGTTTGGAGAGTTCAGTGGCCTAATTGCACATTTTTTGAGTGTTCAATGGGCTAATTGCACTTTTTTTTTCGTTCAGTGGCCTAATTGCATTTTCAGGTTACGTTCAGTGGCCAATTTGAACCTTATTCCTTTTTCTAAATGAATGCAAGATTTCCTTCCCAAAGTGTCAAACGACGTCGTTATTTCCCACTGCCTTGACTTCTCCGGAGAACGAAATTTTCTCCGCCGTCAAAACTCAAAAGCTTCTCTGATCTGCCGCCATTCTTTCAGGCAACTCAGATGTTACTACGCCGCAAGTCTCACCATCTTCACGTCAACGCCTTTCCATTTTCAGCATCACCGCCAACTCTTAAACCACCAGACTGGAGAGAAAAGATCAAACATGCCCAATTGGTCAACCAAATCTCCACCATTCTCACGCAGAGGAACACCGCCCACTGGCCCTCACTTCTCAAGCCCTTCCACCTCAACTCCAATCTCACCGCTCCCCTCTTCCTGCAAATCCTCCGCAAAACCCAACCCCATCCACCCGCCTCTCTCAGCTTCTTCAATTACGCCAAGAAAAATCTGGGTTTCAAACCGGACCTCAAAACCCAGTGTAGACTCGCCGTGATTTTATCCCGGTCTGGGCTTTCCAACCAATCAAAACCCATCTTGGATTCTCTGGTTCAGGCTTACCCAGCAACCCAGATTCTCAGTTCATTGGTTAAAGGTACTGACTTTGATACTCGCTCTTCTCTGTTCAGCTCATTGCTCGAATGTTACTGCAATAAGCGTTTGTATATGCAAAGTTTAGAGGTTTATCAGAGAGCTAAAGAGTATGGGTATTTGGTTCCGGTTCATATTTGCAATGCATTGCTGAGTATCTTACTAGAGAAAAATGAGGTTAAAATGTTTTGGTGCTTCCATGGTTTGATAATCCGAGATGGGGTTTCTGGAAATCTGTTCACTTGGTCTTTGATTGCTCAAGCTCTAGGTAAAGATGGGAAATTTGAAATGATCATTAAAATTTTGGGCATGGGAATGCATAGTCCTGTGATGTATAATCTTATGATTGAGGGTTATAGTAAAAGAGGGGATTTTAAAGCTGCATTTTATAATCTAAATGAGATGTGTAATCAGGGCTTTAATCCAAGTTTTAGTACTTTTAGCTTTATTCTCGATGGAGCTTGTGAATATCATGACGTAAAAGTGATTGATGAAGTTGTAAATTCTATGGTGGGAAGGGGATATCTTCCCGAGATTGCGGAATATGATTCAGTTATCCAGAAGTTTGCTCATTTGGGAAAGACGTTTGCTGCACAACTTTTTTATAGGAGAGCCATGGAGGAGAAGGTTGAGCTACAAGGAACAACTTATGGTTCTATTCTAAGAGCATTTTCGAAGGCGGGAAGAGTAATGGATGCTATTAAACTGTATGATTTTTTAGTGGCAAAAAAGTTTGAGATTAATGAGAATAAATATTTTTACTCGTTTCTGAATGTGCTGTGCGAAGAGAACCCATCAGAGGATATTAGCAGATTGTTGAAAGAGTTGATAGAAAGGGGGTTAAGTCCTTGTGTTGATCAAATGTCTAAATATATAAGCTCTCAATGTGAAAAACGCAGGTGGAAAGAAGCGGAGGAGCTTTTAAATGTAATTTTAAATCATGGAATTTTACCAAACTCTATCTGTTTTAGCTTGTTGGTGAAGCATTATTGCCTTAGTAAGCGGATTAGTTCTGCTATTTCGTTGCACGCCAAGATGGAGGTCCTTGATGGTGCTTTCGACGTAGCCACTTATACTGTACTTCTCAACGGGCTATTTAGAGAAAAAAGGATCGAAGACGCTATCAGGATATTCGATTACATGAGAACGCATAATGTGTTAAGCAGCGACAGTTTTTCAGTCATCATTAGAGGGCTTTGCCTCGAAAAGAATTTTAGAAAAGCCATGAGCTTGCACGATGAGATGTTGAAGCTTGGGCTTAAACCCGATAGAAAAAAATATAAGCACTTGATCTCTGGTTTCAAGTAACCATCTTGGAGCAATGTTCTGGGAACCCTGGAGTCTAATAGAGAGAAAGCTGCCAATCCAATTTCATCAATGGCTCAAGGTACTTTAAAATTAAGCAAACTTTTAGCACATTCTCACCACATGCGTATGTAGAAGGTTGTTACCTTTTTGCATAAGGTGCAAGTTTTGTTTATACGTGCGTGCATATGCATTTATCTTCTTGCAAATTGTAAAAAAACATGGCATAACTCCACTAGGTTGCACAAGTTCGACTCTCAACAGCGAGAGCGGCTTATTGGCCTTCTTGGTTTGAGTCAGTCAGTTATGGGCAACCTAGGCTGATTTACCTCCTTGTGGTCCTTTGCTGGCTAGGGCCACAAGGCGGGATTTACCCAGTGTACACCCTCAGGTAGCTGCTACGAAATTGGGAAGTACGACAAATACTACACAATAGAATTTCATATAAGCTCTCATGAGCACACTAGTTCCATTTTAAAGTTTTAAAATTTTTGAATATGATTGATAACAACAATTCTTTGTACATTGTTAATTGTTAATAATTAGGTAATTCCAAATAGAAAAAAAAAAAATTCGTTTTTTCTAGAAAAAAAAAGTACGGTGCTGTATGGCATCATTGTGTTCTGTTTTTTTATAAGTCTCTCTATTTACTTGTGAAAAATACTCAACCCGACCTTTCTTTAGGGAGGATTTTGTGGTTGTCCACCATCTACAACACAAATTTTTATCCCGAATTCTTCATGTACTCTGTGGCTCCTGCTTCATCATTTTATTTCTCCATTCTCTCTCCTAAAAGGAATCTCCCATTTGAAAGCAAGGAGAAAGAGGAAAGAATAAAGAGCCCTATTGATATTAATCTCTTTTGGCAAAGACCACCACCCATTGTGATTTTCTAATTTCTCTTTATTCTCTCCTCCTTCCCTCCCAATATATATTTTCTCATGTATACAACAATTCGCTCGGGTTTTTCTTCAATGTTCTTGGTATAAATTATCCCTGTTGGTTGTTTTGCGTGCATGCTTTTCAAATATATTTTTCTACAGCATTCGAAGGAAGATCACGAGAGATTATGCTGTGAGGACAAGAATGGAGAGTGTTCCACTTTTTCGTCTCCTTCCTTGATCTACCATACTTGCATTTACTCATCTTTGAAAAGGTTAATATTTCCTTCTTATCTTCTTGAGCCTTTGAGGATAATTGTCATTAAAATATGTATACGAATGCTTACATTAATGTCTGCAATAATCATAGTATCTGGTTTTGTGAATTTGTTTTTGGGTAGGAAGAAGAACGTGTTTGGTGCTTATTGTAACTCTCATCGGAGAAGAAAGAAGAGTCGGTTTTGGGTCTCTTTCATGTGAACCAAGATGAAGGGGACTTTCAAAGCGGGAGTCAAGTATATCTCCAGTATTTTTGGTAGTGCATTTCCCCTTCCACGAACTTTGATTGTTTGTTTCTTATGTTGACAAATATTTTCAAACTAATTAAGAAGAGCAAAAATGGTTATAGTTGTGAAGGAGGAAGAGACGATCGAAATCGGAATGCCAACAGATGTCAAGCATGTGGCACACATTGGGTTTGATGGCCAATCCGCTGCTGGCACTGCACCTAGTTGGGTATGTGTTTCTCGATATTTTTTTACGATTTAATGCGATCGTTAATGTGTTATAATTTCAGTTGTTATACCATGGACCAGGGTCCAAAATGACATAATATGAACATATATGTGCATGCCGTTAACATATTATATATCTGTAATTAACATATTATGTGCCTTCAATTTATTTATAGGTCATTTTGCAGACACTTTTAAGGATGCAAAAGTGGCGACCGTATAATTGAGGGACTTTTTTGTCATTTTTCCAAGAATTAATAAAAATAAAATTACATTCATGAATGTAATACACTAAATCTTATATACCATGTAACATGATGTTGAAAAGGATGCTTTTTGAAATCTCCCATGTACCTCAAGTTCTTGATCCTCCAAACCCTCCAAAAGTCCTATTAACAATAATAGTTTTTTTTTTTTTTAAAAGAAATTATTTATCTAAATTCAAATCTCACAAGCTAACGAAACCTGACTTTTCTTTTTCGTTGATCTTCTTTAATGTGGAATTGAAGATGAGAGAGTTCAAGACCGGGCCAGATTTTGCCGCGTCATCAATTGATAATACTAGCGGCAAACCATCACCCCCTCAAGGTCAGTTGGCTTCTTAACTACAAAACTTTGCATAAATTGTTGAGAAAAACGGGATCAAGAGATCACAAACAGAAAACAAAAATGAACGATAAGAAGAGTTTACGTGGTGGATCGGCTGAGACCCTACCTCTAGGGTTACAAACATCATATTTGTAACATGTGAGACATACACAACGTTTTGTCATCTTCCAGTAACATATGAGACATACACAACGTTTGTCATCTTCCAGTAACATATGAGACATACACAACATAAATCAAGAAAGCGTGACGTTAAACCAATTCAATGTTGTGTCATTTCTTTTGTTTCTTTCCTAATGTAGGCGAGAATGGTGGCAATAATAATCCTTCGAAGAAAGCTAAACGAAAGAAGCAGAAGGCGATGTCCTCTTCGAGCTCCAGTAGTACCTCCTCCAGAGCAACATCATCATCACGGGCAGCATCCAAGTCCAAGGGCAAGCCAGTCGAAGACGACGATATACAGGACATGTAATGGTAAACTCGTTGTCTCTGTAAATACTCGATGTTACGTGTTTTGATTGTCCATCAAGAAGAGATGGGAGCTGGGCACGTGGCATCTGTGAATCTGTGATGAACAAACATGGAAGCCATGAAACAAGGATACAATTACTGGTCCGTCGCGGATGCGTGAATGTATATTCTGACACTCGGTTTTTTTCTCATTTGTTTTTTTTTTTTTTTTTCTTTTTTTCTCTTTGCTCTTCTTTCCACTGTGATGAGGAAGAGACTTGTAAAGATGGATTTTATTTAGCTTCTGCTGAGAATTTGTGCTGATTAGTTCTTTTAGTCGCTTTCTGCATTTGCATGCATGGATGCATTCTTGATTTCTGTTTAGGTATTTAAGGACAAGAAGGAAATTGTTATTGCAAATCATAGGAAGAACGATGTGTGTTGTTTTAATTAAAAGTTTAAATTTATAGTACAATTGTATTGAGTACCCGTGACAGACTCTTTTCTTGTATTTGTTGGTTGGTTGTGGTCTAGTCTTCGTCACATACGCTTAGGGGCATAAATGAGCTGAGTAGCTTGCGAGCCACCCCGGTCAAAGTTTGGCTCGAGTTTGGTTAACTTCAAACTCAACCGGCTCGTTTCATAATTGAGCTGAGCTCGAGCTCAAATATTATAGGCCCGTGGCTCGTCGAGCCGCTCGTCAGCTCTCTCTCTCTCTCTCTCTCTCTATATATATATATATATATATATATATATATATATATATATATATATATATATATATATATAATCGAGCGGCTCGATAGCTGTTCGGTCAAAGCTCGGCTTGAGATCGAGCCGAGCTCGGACTTCAATTTTTGAGCTCGCTCGAGCTTGAGCCAACCCGAACTCGATCGAGCTCGGCTCAGCTCGTTTACACTCCTACACATGCTTACTGAATAAATCTGAAGTATGGGTAGAAATTAGGTCACTTCATTGAGCTTGTCGTATGAGATTTTCTAATTGCGGTTTATATCTCTTATGGGGTTTTTGGGCTATTACGCAAGAGTCGAGTTTACTCATCATATACTTTCAAGTAGTGGTTGTGGGTTTCTCTTAGTCGTCCAAATTGGGTCACTTTTTTCTTCCCCTTGGAGGAAGTTTGATTCCTGTCACGAACATTGTCTCAATTAATCTCACCATCAGTATGTGGATGAGTTCTAAGATATAGTTTGACGAAATCGAGAAACCTGTGTTTTTTTTTTTTTTTAAATGCATTTTTGCATTGATAAAAACAAGGAATGGTGCACTACATGACAATTATGTATATATTTAACAACATCAATCAACCAATCAAACTACACTTTCTATTGTTTTCATCTACATCCACCGTGAAAAACATAAGCACCCACAACATCAAAACCACTACAAACATATATATTTAGGAGCCCCCCACATTGTGTTCCTAGTACCAACCAAAAAACATCATGAGTTGCTGCAACTGCCAAACTAGAAGAGGCCTGAAAATATGTTGTGCAGTCACAGCAGTTCTCATACTCGTGATCGCTGCCGTTCTAATCACTCTCTATTTCACCATTTTCAAGCCCAAAGAACCCAAAATCATCACACAATTAGTCACCCTAGAGCACATCAAACTCGTCCCAATCCCCGGCCTCCTCCCCATCCCCGTCGCATTCCTCCTAAACATCACACTCGGCCTCTTGGTCACCGTTCATAATCCAAACTACGGTAGCTTCAAATACCAAAACAGCACCGCCTATGTCACCTATCGTGGGATCCAAGCCGCCCAGGCTCCAATCCACGAGGACAACATCCCGGCCCGCGCCCACCATAACGTCAGCACACATGTGGTGGTTATGGCTGACAAAGTTATTTCTGATACACATTTTCTGGCGGATATATTCAATGGGAGCTTGAACTTTTCATCTTCTACCACGTTGCATGGTAAAGCAACCATTTTCAAGATCTTCAAGTTAAAAGCCACCACTTTTAGTACATGTGACATCTCAGTCTTTATCAAATATCAGAATGCAACTGCTGCCTGCAAATCAAAGATTGACTTATGATTTTAATTTGCCGGTTAGGGTTACAGGACGGGATTTACCCAGTATACATCATCGAATAGTAACTGCCAATTTCCCTGGTCACTGACATTTGATTCTTTATATACATAGTTTCTTTTGAGTTCAAGATTAGGTCAAATCTTATTCAAAAAAGTTCGGCATGGATAGATGTTCTATTAACAAATATTATGTTATAATAAATTAGTATAGTTTGTATGTAATATTTCAAAAATAATATTCATAATATGATAAAGAATATTAGTCATTCTCTCTTATATACAATAAATATATAAATCAGTTCAAGTTATATCGAGTTTTTCGTAGCATAAAATTTAGATTCTACAAAAGAAAAAAAAAAACAGTAAAAAACACCTTGATCATGGGTTTAAAGTACAGTTTACGTACTTTAATATGTTCTCCAATTCGAAAAATTGAAGAATTAAAAGTGACTATTTGAAAAAAAAAAAAAAAAAGGGTTATGATTAAAATGTTTTTGTCTTATATGATGTTGGAGAACATTGGAAAGTCAGACCATGAAAATATTAAGTGTACCTATTTGTGATCCACATCTTTGTTTGTGCCGATATGTATAGAGAATCAAAAACTTTTCAGAACAAGAAAAAGTCAAAGCAAAATTTCAAATAACACCTTCCAACCCTTTTGATTTGTAATTTATCCCTTCAATTGCAAATATATTCATTCTCTGACCCTTTAGACATTATTATGGTGATAATTATTCTTATTTTTAACTAGCTTTTTTATCAGAGGTGTCCTGAGCAAACCCTAACTGTAGAAGGTAGCCCGTATGCAGCCCATACCATACACAGACCCGACTCAATTAAGGAGCAAAGTACTGGTCAGATTGATTTTTCCATACGCGAGAAGGTTCGAATTTTCGACCTCTCTTAAGGGATGGAAGTGTACGATCACCCACACCAATCAAACTGATTTTTCTAACTAGCTTTTTAGCGTAATGAATGGTGAACTAATAAAATTTTAGCTCATATTATATTCTTTCATCGACCTAATAGTGATCACAATTTGATTTAAAACAATTTGTTATCATCATGAAGAGTTAATTCCCAAAATGGTCCTCTGACTATGGTTTTTTCTTAAATTGGTCCTTTGACTTTGAATTTTTTTAAAGTGGTCCTCCAATTTTTGAATTTTAAGTTAAAATGGTCTTTAGTTAGCTTTGGCGTTAAAATGAATGGTAAAATTGGAAATTTAGATTTTGCACTCCAATTTAAAGCAATCAATGATTCTTTCAGCAGTCTGCACACATAATCTTCAAATTAGATTTTTTGCTCTCCTAAATCTGCAATCAAAATGTGGGATAATCAACTAGAAGGCCAAAAAAGTTCATCTTCAACTTCATCCACAAACTTCCCAAGGCAAAGATTTCTGGCCTTCTTGATGATTACCCACAATTTGATTGCAGATTTATGAGAGCAAAAACCTAATTTGAATAAATATGTGCACAGATTGCTAAAAGGAATCATAGATTGCTTTTAAATTGGAGTGAAAAATCTAAATTTCCCCCTTCATTTTAACACCAACTTAACGCCAAAACTAACGGAGGACTATTTTGGCTTAAAATTCAAAAGTCAGATGACTACTTTGGGAAAATTAAAAGGCAAGGAACCAATTTGAGAAAAGACCATAGTTGGAGGACCATTTTGAGAATTAACTCTCATCATGATCTAAAACCGACTTAAATGTTTTATTTTAAACTCTGAAACTATAACCAATTTTAAAATAAAATTAATAATTAACAAAAAAAAAAAAAACAAATAATAGATTTTTGAAGTATCAAAGTACGTCATAAATCATCTAAGTTTTGTTAAAAAGACCATGGATGAGGGAGTCTAGTTATGATAAAACGAGCCGTAGATAAGTCTCATGAGTCAAATTTGAAACATTATGATTACTAAGTCAACTGTTTAATTAATTTGACTGTGGTTGCCACAAAAGAAACTCTTTTACCACTAGATAACAATGTTTTGAAATTTGATTATGGTTAAAGTTCAACCGATAATTGTGGGCCAAATTGGTCAGTTCCGGGGGGTGGGGGGCTAAGGTGGCAAATTATTTTGTGGACCCGAATAAAAAAATATTTAATTTATATACTAAATGCTCACAATTTATACATATTGAATGTTCACAATTTACATACTGAATATTCACAATTTTATATACTAAATGTTCACAATTTATATACTGAATGTTCGTATTTCAAATTGTGTACATTCAGTATATAAATTGTGTATTTCGACTCGGGTCCACCTTGTAGATCCACCTTGCAAGGTGGACCCTAGTCAATGGCATAACTATTGGGCTAAGGTGATGCTAGAGCAATTAGGTGATGGGCCTACATTCGGGCCCAAAAACATTTTAGTATTTTAAAGATATTAGAAGATTTTGGGAGGCAGGAATTTTGTATTTTTGATTAATTGTACTTTTTTCTTATATTTGAAGCAATGAATTTTCCTCGTGGAGTTGGTGGATTATGTTGATGCATGACTTTATATGTCATTATTCTCCTCTTTATTGAACAAAGTATAACCTCAAACCACCTCATTAAATTGTGTTCTTTTCTACTCAATCTCTACCATACCCCTCTCCCACTTACATAACACACTTTTTAATTGATAATAAAAGCTTTGCTATTTACAAGCCAAGGTTGGACTCCATAAACTTAATTGTCAAATGTTCATATTAGAAGCAAGTTAGCTAGCTAGATTGCAATTTTAAATTTTATTATATATTATTATATATAAACAAAAAATGTTAAATTATTCGAGACTTTCTAGATTCTGGGCTTAGCTTGTAACTGTTTTTCGAGTGAGAAAAAAAATTTAAATAATCATTGTTTATGATGTATCATTGATTTCAAAGACAATTTATGTATGCATCGATCTCCAAAACTTTTTAATTTTTGTTGTTGTCTTACCTTGCCTATCCATAAGGATTTTTGTGTTGATGGAAGTTTGGAGGGTCAAGTCTGGAATCCTGCCGTCTTTAGGTATTTGATACTTGGCGCTAACTGTTACACAAGTATAAAGAAGTATAACTATGTCTTCACTACTAATTGTAGTTTTTTTTTTTTTTTTTTTTTTTTTTTTTTTTTTTTTTTTGTCATAGTGGTATGTGTTTGGTCCATGCACAGTAGTTATCTTCATGTACATTTCGATGGTAGGATGCTAGATTCGGCCCTCCAAGTTTCCGAGCAACTGTCGAACTCATAATCTACTCTATACCAATTTTCAAGAT